TCAAGTGGATTTCAAACCAACACTGATTAAGAGAGACAAAGAAGGACACTACATCCTTGTAAAGGGAACAATCCAAAAGGAACAGTTGACAATCATTAATATATATGCACCAAACACTAGTGCACCCAACTATATAAAACAAATGCCAATGGACATGAAAAGTCACATATGTGGTAATACAATAGTAGTGGGGGACCTCAATACCCCACTGTCACAAACAGATAGATCAACTAGACAAAAAATAAGCAACAAAATACTAGAAGTCAATCAAACTCTTGAACAAATGAACTCAACAGATGTTTACAGAGTGTTACACCCCACAAAATCACAATACACATTCTTTTCAGCTGCACACAGGTCACTCTCTAAAATAGACCATAAATTCACTCATAGAACATGTTTAAGTAAGTACAAAGAAATTGGAGTTATCCCCTGTATATTATCAAACCATAGTGTGATAAAATTGGAGATGAATAGATAAAGAAACTGCAAGAATTTCATGAACAAATGGATGGAACAACATATTTCTGCATAACCAAAGGGTCGCAGAGGAAAATAAAAAAGAAATCAGACAGTACCTACAATTAAATGACAATGACAATACAACATATCGGAATCTATGGGACACAATGAAAGCAGTCCTATGAGGGAAATTCAAAGCAGTGAATACACTTATTAGGAAAACAGAGCGAGCCCAATTACACAACCTGATGCTGAACCTCAAGCTTCTAGAATGAGAAGAGCAGGACAAACCCAAAGCTCAAACAAGGGAGGAAATTATAAAGATCAGAGCAAAAATCAATGCAAAGGAGACTAAGAGAATGATACAAAAAAAATCAATGAAGCCAAGAGTTGGTTCTTCAAAAGAAAAAACAAAATTGACAAACCCTTTCACCAACATCATCAAAAAAAGGAAAGAAAAGGCCCAAATCCATGCAATTAGGAATGAAAAGGGTGAAATTACAATGGACCCAGTAGAAATCCAGAGGGTCACCAATACCTACTTCCAGAACCTATACGCCAATAAGATGGAAAACTCAGAAGAAATGGACGGATTCCTAGATACATGTGAATTACCAAAGTTGAAGATGACTTAAGTATTCTAAACAACCCATTATCAATCAATGAAATTGAAAATGTAATTAAAAACTTACCAACTAAGAAAAGCCCAGGTCCTGATGCCTTCACTGATGAAATCTACAAGACATTTAGAGAGGAACTACTGCCACTATTGTTTAAACTCTTCAGTGAAATTGAAAGGGAAGCAATAC